CTCTGGGTATATGCAGGTGCCCCCTTTGTAGTTCCACTATCAGACAAATTCAATGAATGCCCGCTGAATGGAAAACTTTCTGACATTTGGTGATTGGCCAATTGAGCTCGGGTTCCTAAAATGCCCAGATAGCATAACTTTGTTCATCGATTCGCTACAAAGAGCTACTTATAAGCTACATCAGCTACATTTGTTAACAAACAATAATTTACCTTTAAAATGTATTCATAATACTTGCTTTTGGTTTGAAGACTGGTTTTCATTCCTAAATCCATCAAAGTGCTCTTATTTTTGGAGTCAAACCTCTCTGATTTTTGCTTTAATTTACGGCGGGAAATGATAATTTGAGTGACTCTTATCATGTGCTGGGTTGTCGTTAGCTACTGCTGTGCGGAAGTTCTTATTTCTTAACGTCCATCGGATAATAAGTTAAATTTTGTGATACATTTATTTCATTGTTATTTCTTCTGGTTACATTATCAAATTTTTTCCGGAGAACTATTTTAGTAATCATATAAAAAAACGAACTGGGAGACTTGGAGGTTCTTGAAATGTCATCCGAATATCTCTGGACATTTAGCACAACAACGGATGCAACAAGTTAAGTGTCCTGTTTGTGGCGAGGCACACACCTGTTCTGTGAACACAGAACAAGGTGTGTAAGATCAATAGGTAAAATAATTGTGAAACATGTATTTCATTCGCAATACGTATTTTATATGTACAGCCCATCCCCTTCAATGTGAATTCAACAAGGAGCAACTGGAAGAATTGAAACGATATTTTTCAGATGACAATACATATGTCAAATTTGTTGGTTCAAGTTATGTTACCTATTGAGTGATTAGGTGAAACAATTGATGAGAAGGGGTGAGAAAGGTGTTGCACGTACAATGAAACGTGCCATGTCTACGGTACTGCATGATTCGCTAGTTGTGCTGATGACTTGCTCCAGAAAACACGTTCATTTTTCTTACTAAAGGTGTTATCGCTAAGTAACTATAATAATATATGCATTACTTTACTGGATGCTATTCGGACAAACCCCAAATTTATCGGTGTTTCAATGGATTGTATTGAACGCGAAACACTTAGGTGGATCAAATATATGGCGGACAGAATTGCCACGAAAAAATTGCGACAGAAAAGTACAACACTGTAAATGTAATATACTTTTTGCTTTAATAATATATATCAATGAATGAATGATCTTCTATACGATGCCCAATAATCCGCATGAAAACCTCTGATTAAAGTAGAAGCTTGTTTGAAGGTAATTTCTAATTAGGATTAACATGATACAGCAGGAGTGAGGGAAAACGAAGGGAATTTATTCAATTAGTCAATAATGTGCGTTGTAATCATGACAAACATGGGCTTCAGCCCATTTCGAGATAGTAATACCGCGAGAAAATATGGGGTTTATAACGGATTAGAGAATAGAGAAGATGGAGATTATAAAACAGAATTTTCAAAAGAGTAACTCATCGTAACCGGTTATTAGCGCGCTATTAGCCGACGACGTGCTCGTGGATGGAAACTGAATAGTCCGGCTCATCGCCTGTCCGTAAGTTGTAGTCATAATTTTTAGGAGGAACTTGCTCCCGTGAGTTGTCACTGAATCTGCCGAGGATGACATGTATCAGCTAGCAGATCGCTCCAAATTTGACTCCAGCTCTGGACAGGAAGTGTAAGACCAATAGAGTAGTAATCCCATACCAACAATACGGATTCGGCTGTCTTGATCGATCAATATTGCTCAATTAGATCAACCGAAGTGATGTTAATCCGAATATTTGCAAATTTATCCAGGATTATTTATTTAATAAATCGAAAGCATTCTGTGCTGTAAACGGCAAGAGATCTTCTACTTGCCTGATTACTTTTGGTGCTGTAAATTTATTTTTTACGTTTTTATTTTCATTTTTCGGTAAAAATAGTTCCCGTTCCTTCTAGATTGATTGTTTCATAATAGACCCAACGATATGGTTTTGGGACTTGCAAGACCCACCTTGGGAAAGGCTCAAGAAATTTAAAGCAGCTAAACGATGCTTGTGAACTGATTATCTGCCTTGTTACCATTCCTTCAATGTCTCGAAATGTCAGGATTTGGGTTTTCCTGATGGCCGCCGAACCATATTCAGCCCTCACAAATAGTTTTTCTTCGCTTTCTGCTAATCATAGACTCATGCCAAAATCAATGTGAGTAAGTCGTCTTAGCGTCCGTCACACTATCACAAAATCTATCATGCTCCCTGCACGTTCAGGACACATTCTGTAAAGTTTGAAAGCTGTGTCATTCTGATTAAGGATACTGTCTGTTATCCACAACTTGGTTGTTAAATTTGTGAAAGCATGCATAATCCCTCAATGGTTTTAGCGCGTGATTTTCCCCCGTCTGTTGAAACCAACACGTTTTTAAGGGACTAGATCCTTGAAACACCGCCAAATGCAGTGGTGCAGTTTAACATAGGCAGCTATCTACAATCATGTGAAAATTTCACCTCTAACAGGCTCTCAGACACTTATGAACCATCGCGCGACGAACCGACAAAACTGTATCTGCATCACCCTCAAGCTCAAGACTCAAAAGGTTTTTGCATGCACCTCTTTGTATCGAAACGCTGTTTTGACAAATCTCGCACATTTGCAGTTCACAAGGAGAAAGTTTCCACGGAAGTGCCTAACTACCTGCTAACTACCTACCCGAATAGGGTTCATGTCAGATAGTTATTGTTTCGTT